ATATAAGTTGTTTGGTGTATAGGAGCTGTTCAAAAATTATCTGTGGAAAAAATAGAGAATAATATTATTGGGTGTTAATTTACTAATTCTAGTCAATTGCATGTTTATGGAAGCATCAAATGTATGGTTTATTGTATTCAATAGATACTTACTGAGTACATGCTAAGAAGAAACAGGTGAATAAAAATGAATTATTGTCACAAAAGGGTGCACAGTTTAGTGGGGAGAAGCAACTAATCTAAGATAGTATGTCAAATGTGGTAACAGAGGCCTATCTATTGGACTGTGGGAAATAGAAAGGATAGAGCAATGAATTCCAACAAGAAAATATAAGTAGGCTCCAAAGAGGAAGAGACCTCCTGGAAGGTAGAATAGCAGCAGTGAAGGCATGAAGGCGAAACGTGATGAAGTTGTTTGAGGACTGAGCGGTTTCATGGGTAAGAATTCAGAGTGAGATGGCACATGGAATAATCTGGGGAGGGGACATTGGATAGAGAGATGGAGGCAGAATCATGAAGGACAAAGATGCCATAAAGACCAAAAAACTCAAACTCGCTGCGATCAAGTCAAATCCTACTCATAGCAATGCTTTTGGACAGAATAGAACTGCCCCCTTGGGTTTCTGAGACTGTAACTCTGATGGGCGTAGAAAGCCGTGAGAAGAAAGAAGGGGGAAGATTTCATGAGAAGAAATAACTTGAAAAAATGTTAACAGTGACAAAGAACTCACAACCTATAGCTTAGATTGAATGATGCCTGCTCACAAGGGGGAGTTCAGAGAAGCAACTTATTTTAATCATATTACTACGCTTGGGCCAGAGAGCCTGGTAATGTAGTGGTTAAGAGTTGGGCTGCAATCTGCAGGGTCAGCAGTTCAAAACCATCAGCAGCTCCAACTGAGAAAGACTGGGCTTTCTCCGCCTGTGAATAGTTACAGTCGATGAGACCCACAGGGGGCGGTGGCGAGTCAACATTGATTGATGGCAGTGTTTTTTTTTATTTTGGTTTTGATTTTGGAGGCTTGGTCCAGAAGCCTAATCAAGATCTTTGTTGATGCAAAATAAATGGTTTTTAACTGACTCTACGCCACCTAACCTCCTTGACAACAAATCAGCTCAGTGCAATGACTTTACACAAATAGATAAGGAACAGATCAGATTTTTAGGGAAAGTATAGGAGATGCTCATTTGGTAGTGGTGACACTAATCCCTAGCTTAGGTCCCCTGACCAGTGTGTTCAATAATCTGTCATAAAAATAAAGTTGGGGAAAAAAAGGAAATCTATTTTTCCCAAAAGAAAATTGCATTTATTTGCCTAGAATAACAGAAGAATCATAAACATACTCATATTTGGTAAAATTTTCATTTGAGCTTACTGCAATTGTTTATCATGGACTCTATGTTTTCATTAGATAGTGAGATTCCTGGAGGTTCATTACTCTTGAGGAAGAAAAGTGCAAATTGAAAGGCATGTTCATTTATTGCCAGTTTTTATTGTAAAAGGCGTTACAACTAGAGAGAGGACAATATCCGACTGTACTTCAGCTATATGCTTAGCTCCTGAATCTGAACTTGGTTGCAAATGAGTGAAGATAACATAATGATAACAGAAAGGAAGGCGCCTGGACCTCATAGGATCTCTTCACAGCCCAGGGCCATTAGCTTTATATGCACAGAAACTAGATTTTGTCCAGACGTTGGCTAGGATTGGATTGAAGTGGACTAACTTCACTAATCATATGCACGAAAGATTATTCCATAAGTTTAGATATGAATTTCTTCATTTTCCATGAGAACTGTAACTGCCGAACTGAATGGTTATTTAAATTACCCGATGGCACACGCTCTACTTGGAGAAAAAAATTATCTGCAGCTCCAAAACCAAACCCATTGTTACTGAGTTGATTGCAACCCATAGTGGTGCTATAGGATGGGGTAGAATTGCCCCCAGAGGTTTGCCCAGGCTGTAAATCTCTCCGGAGGTAGACCATCACATCTTGCTGATTGGCTGGTGGACTAGAACAGCTGACATTTCTTTAAGCACTGTACCACCGGTATAGAGACCACCTTGCAGAGTGATTTAGAAGCTATGCTCTTGATGAGGACAGATTTCACTTCAAAGCTTAGTTGTGTTGCCTTCATTCAGCAGGTACTTCACTCCTCTAAACCTCCGTTTTTACATCTTTATTGTGAAGATAATCATGGACTTCTATATTCATTGAATCACAATAAGGGATATAGATTGCATAAATTTAGGATTCAGAATGGCCTAGTGGTCTCATAACTATGATGAGATCCTGGCGTATCCTCAGAGAAGCTGCTATGGAAAATAAATACATCAGCCTTGAATCCGACTCTCGTCTTCGACGTTGCTGCTGTTAGGTGCCCTCAAGTCCATTTTAACTCACAGCCACCACACAGGGTTTTCTTGGCTTTGACCGTTATAGAAGCGGAGCAGCAGTTCTGTCTCCTGCAGAGCTACTGAGTGGATCCAACCCATTAATCGCCAGTTAGCAGCCAATGACTTACCCTTCTTTCAACAGTGTTCAAAGCAACCTCAGGTTTTTTTAGAGTACAAACTAAAGAATTCAATACTTCTATTTAGGTTTGCAATTTGTTTATCTAGCAAGGCTCTTTTGGAGGAAAAAAAAGTTATGTGTGTGGGGGTGGGTGGGTGGTCAGGAGCTGGGGTAAATAGTTGAAAGCATTTTTTTAAGTGCAAGGGGCCAGAAGAAGAGGAAGCAGACTCTCCTGGGTGGAGAAGCGCCCATGCGTAAGGAACACCGATATTGTCACATGAAAAACACGAACAACAGCTACTATTTGAAAAGGATCTGAAGGTTTGATTCACTTCATACAGTCTTTTCTTTGGGAAAGCTGGAGACTGTTAAGAGGGTACAAATGCAGTAGAGTATGATGAAAAAATCTTTATAGGGAGGGGGGAGCGGGTAGGGAGGGAAAAAATGAGGACCTGATGCCGGGAGCTTAAGTGGAGAGGAAATGTTTTGAGAATGATGAGGGCAATGAATGTACAAATGCGCTTTACACAATTGATGTATGTATGGATTGTGATAAGAGTTGTATGAGTCCCTAATAAAATGATTTTTTAAAAAAAGAAAATGTCTTTATAACTATGTATTTTTCTTCACATAGGATCAACATCATCTGGTTTTTGTCTTCCTACTTACTTGAGCCTCGATGGCGTTGTTGGGTAACCACTGACTTAGTAGCCATACAATTGGCAGTTCAAGATGTTCAGTGAAAGAATGCTGGGCTACCTTCAGGAGAAAGCTAAGGCTATTTGCTCATGTAAAGATGTACAGCATCAGAGAGCCTAGATAAGGTCACTATGAATCAAAATCAGCTCCATAGCAGTGGGTTGTTTATTATTATTATTATTATTATTATTATTATGTATCAGACCTTCCTGTCAGAGAGGAGACCTTGCTTAATTTGTCAGAATGAGTGTTGGTGGCACAGGGGTTCAATGCTTCGTTGCTACCTACCTGAAAGGTCGACAGTTCACGCCCAGCAGCGACTCCACATGAGAAGGATGTGGCCATCTGCTTCCTTGGAGATTACAAACGTGGAAGTCCCAGGGGGCCATTCTATCTTATTCTGTAGCGCTGCTCTGAGTGGGAATCGACTGTGGTTCTCCCCAAATCCCCGTCTTTGCTTTTCAGCAACCAATTGGGTTAATGAAACCAATCCTATCCATGACCCTTGGAAACTCATCTTTCAATTACAAAGATAATATGTGCTGATAAGTAATGTGAATACTGCGAAAGTTGACACATTCAATCCATGCTCCTGTCCCAGAAGTCAATGCTGTTGACTTTTGCTATGCGTTCTCTCGTGTTCTTATTCATATACAATTCTTATATTTTGATGCACACAACATTTTAAGCATACACGTATTCTGACACGTGATCCTTTTGCTTAGTATATCGTTTCTTAGTTGTACGAGTATTATTGTTAAGTGAAGAAAACATTGCTTATACAGAATGAATGCATGCATCCCAGGCCCACGTCTTTCTGTTGTCTCATATGTGCTGTTGGGACAGCTTAAATAGTTTGAAGGAGCCTCAGCTATCTGACCAAAGTTTCGACACCAACCTATAACTGTGCAAGTGGTCTGACCCAAATTCTCTTTTTAAAATTACACAATTACAAATTCAAACCCAACCCAAACAGAATAGTTTAAACCACTTTTTTTAAAAAAAATTGGGTTCCAAGTACTTTCAGCAAAGCATGTTCTACTTTCTTGTTATTTATATTATGAACAACATTTATTTCACACAGAATTCCAAACATGAACAGAAGAAACCAGACCAGCACCTATGAATTTCTCCTCGTGGGCCTCTCTGAATATCTCGAACTGCAGCCTCTCCTGTTTGGGCTCTTCCTGGGCATGTTCCTGGTCACCGTGGTGGGAAATTTGCTCATCATCCTGGCCATTGGCTTTGATCTACGCCTTCATACCCCAATGTACCTTTTCCTAGCCAACCTCTCCATTTCTGACATAGGTTTCATCTCTACAACAGTCCCCAAAATGTTAGCAAATATTAGTTCAGGAAATAAATGGATTTCTTATGGTGCTTGCCTGACACAACTCTATTTCTTTGGCTTATTTGCAGACCTGGACAATTTTCTCCTGGCTGTCATGGCATTTGACCGCTATGTGGCCATCAGCCACCCTCTTCATTATGCTGTGACTATGAACTCCCGACGTTGTGCCATTCTGGTTGCTGGGTCCTGGGTGGTCACTACCTTCCATGCTCTAGTGCATACCCTCCTCGTGACTAGGCTTTCCTTCTGTGGCCCCAATATCATCCCCCACTTCTTCTGCGATCTGGCCCCACTTCTTGAGCTGGCCTGCTCCAGTACTTATGTCAATGACCTGGTGCTCATCCTTGTTGCAGGCACACTGCTTATTGGACCCCTTGTCTGCATCCTTACATCTTACTTTTACATTGTACTGGCAATTCTGAGAATTGGTTCCTCTAAGGGTAAGCAAAAGGCCTTCTCCAACTGCACTTCCCACCTCTCTGTGGTCTCACTGTTCTATGGAACAGCCATTGGAGTCTATTTATCTTCTCCAACACCCTACTCAGGGCAGAAGAACAAAATCTTCTCAATAATGTACACAACGATCACCCCCATGCTCAACCCCTTCCTTTACAGCTTGAGAAACAGAGATATGAAGGAGGCTTTGGGGAAACTGCTAAGAACAAAAACAGCCTAATGCTCTCTTCTCAGGGTGATAGGGTCCTGACTCCAGGGGGTGAAAATGATTCACTTGAAAGTTCAACCACTATCATTACTCCATAGGAGAAAAAAATGAAGCTGTCTGTTTCGTAGGATGTACAACCTTAGAAACCCTGTGGAATAGTTTGACTCTTTCCTATAAGGCAGTTATGAGTTGGAATTGATTTGACAGCCATGGGTTTGGATTTGGGGGGTTTTGCATGGAAGGTTCAGTTAAATCCTGGATTCTAGCGCTAGTTTTACCATCGATGGATTTTGTTATCTTGAAATCTCACCTCAGCCTTGATTTTCCCATTTGTGAAGTGGTGTTTGAGTTGCATAAGCCTAAGCCTTTTCATTCTTAACCTTATCATAATATTTAGTGTGATTGTGGTGAAAACTGAAGACTTGATATCAGAAGTTACAATTCAGGATTCTTAGTCTACCATTTTTAGACTATACAACTTGAGGCAACTTCCTTCGAGTTTTGGCTTCCATGTTTGTAAAAATAAAATAACCACCACATTGTAGGATTACCCTGGGTAATAAATAATGTGTGAACCCACTTGGACCAGAGTAAGCACTCAATAAATGTTTATTAAATCTAAGTATTCTGCTCCCTTATTTATCCTAATCAGTCCTAAGGTGTTCCTTCTCTCTTTGTTGAATGTGCCTGACAGTCTGTAGAATGCAGGACCTACTTGTGAAGAATAAAACATACCTTGAGCCCTGGTGGCATTGCAGGTACTTGTTGGGCTGATCACCACAAAGCCAGTGGTTCAAACCACAGGCTTGGAAACATGCAGTTGTACTCTGTCCTAGAGGGTCACTATGAGGCAGAATCGACTTGATGGCCCGACTTAATGAAATTTATAGTCTACTGACTTTTATGTTATACTGTAAGCTTCATGAAAGCAGTTGATGCTGTCTTGTTCAACCCAGAGTGTTCAGCTGAATAAACGAATTTAGAAGTGAATGCATGAAGAATGTGTCATATTGAGAGTATAAATTTTAAAATTAGGAGCAAATCTGAAATTGTTGCTACCCTGTCGTGTTGATTTCATTGATTCTCACAGATATTTCCCTCATAGAAAAGCTTTGAGGTTATCCTCACCCTCATCATCTTTGCAGAATGGCAGTATGATACAATAAGAAAAATTAAAACAACTGTGCCGTTAGAAGATCGAGTTTTCAGTCCAACCAGTTACTTCAAGAGAGATTCAAGCAAATGTCTAAACCAGTGGTTCTCAACCTGTGGGTCAC